TGATGTTGCGCGAAGTAGCCAATCTTTGCAGCAGGGTGTTGGGTATTCTTCCCTCTGACATCTGCTGATGCTGGCACCCCGATGATGGTCTTTACGGACGTTGTCTTCCTCCTGCTATTCGTCCCCATACAAGGTGGGATGAGCAGCAGCGCCGCGAAGACCTCAATACCCCAAACTTGCGGGAGCGACCTTAGGATAAGTATGCATGTAAATGAAAAATACCATTAAAATCGACTTCTACGCTATGCGATACAATATAATACGTATGGGCAGGCAGTAAGCAGGAGCCGAGACAATGAAGTGGTCGTAGATTACCGAGATGTAGCGATAATGTATCAGCAGGGTCTAGGTGTCTGGGCGCCAGGGGTACTTACTTCCCGAGAGCGTCATGTGATCCTCGGAGTCCGCCAGAGTCCGGCAGACTCGCCGGACTCAACAGTCTCGATATTTTGGCGACGCTGCTGCTGGGGAGGCGGGGAAGACGAGGTTCCAACCGGACGGAACCGTCGGCACTACACGGTCACGTGTGATCGAAGAGGAAAGGGAGCCGAAAAAGGCAAGGCGAGGGAAGCTGTTGGACGTCCCTGTGACCGCCGCTCAACTCTTTTCTGTCCGTGCTCACAGCGCGGACATGCTCCTTCTCCTCTCCATCATCCATCATGGCCCCCCTCCTCCCCACCAGCCCCTCCTTCGTCTCCCTCTCCTCCACCCATCCCTCAACAGTGGACTCCGACAGCACACTGCTCACCCCCAAGGTCCGCTTCGAGCACGAATGCGTGGTCATTCCAGATTCCGCCCCCGTCTCAAGGCTCCCCCGTCTCGTCACAAAATCTTACAGCCTTCCTCTCTGGAAGCGCAAACGAGAGCCTTCTATAGTCTCAGAGTCTGAAGACGAGCCCTCCGAAGACCACGTCCTCTTCAAGGTCTCCGTTCCTAGGTCCGTCCCACCCACCCCGCATTCAGTGTACAATAGGTTTACTCACCTAACGACAGCATCACCATCAAAGCTCGCTCCCCTTCCCGCGATGCTGCCCATGTTCCCCTCGTATCCTGTCTCGTCCACCCGCAACCCACGTCCCATACCTCTACTCCCGAACGCAGGGGCCGCCCCAGGCGTGCTTCCTTGCCCCAGCCTATGGCCACAGACACCGTCACCGTCCCTTTGCGCTCTTGTTGCGCCCAATGCTACTCCTCGATAGACCAATGCATCAGCGCTGGCGAGCATTGGAAAATTCACTTCTCTCGCGGCGCTCTCCGCCGCCGCAAGTCCGTCTCCGATGCCCACACGCCCTCCCGCGCCCGCCACTGTGTCCGTGATGCCATGCCTGGCTTCGACGCAATCGTCGCCGTAGACGAGGTCGACCGCCGTCGCATGTCCACCGAAATCGACCCCCTCACCGCGTTTACTATCGCCGTCCCGACCACATCTGTCGATACCAGCACCGGCCCGGAGGATATTCCCTTGCGGCGAGCTCTTTCACTGCCTGACGCAGTATATCCCACTCGCACCAATTTGCTTCTCGACCGCCATCCCCGCACAATCTCGCCACCCATCCCTGAGGAGGACGAGCACCGGCCATCCCCTCGGCGCACTCCAGTCGTGAGCCCTCGAGCCTCAATCACCAACCTGACCACTGTCCGTGTGATGCACGTAGCAGACACCTCCGACCTTCCGGACCTGCATGCCTCACCTCCGCCCATGAAGAAGACGCTGTCGGAAGATTCTACCCTCAGCGCCGACGAAAACTTGCCGTCATCGCCCATGTCCGGCCTCACCGACGACGACCGAGAGACGATCTCTGCCTTTTTCTCCAGCTCGGCCCTTGCCCTGCATCAGCGCGGATGCTCAGATCCCCCGGTGTCCTCGCCTTCATCTTCACCGCGCATCGACCACGCCCGCGCTCCTGCTGGCCTCGACCCGGCCCTGTCGCGCAAGAAGCCGCTCATGGGGAGCATCTTCCGCGCTTCGACGTCGGTGCTCAAGGGCATCACCAGCATCGGGGGCGTGCCGATGAGCGTGTGACACGCTCTGCGTTCTCCCGAAGCCCACTACACTTTGCGCGCTCTTGTCGTTCTTTCTCGCATGCATGTCCTGGACGCCGACTCAATGTAACATACTGCACCACGTCGTAGTCGCTGTCCTTCGCTGCCGTTTATACCACCGGGATTGACCGTTCCCGATCTTGGACCTTCCATCGCTTCCGCTCCGACCATGTATTTGTACCGTCTGTTCTTCCCTTATACCACCATCCGTCTTCCCTTCAATCGATAAGGAGTGTTATCCTGTGTAACATCAAAATCACGCCCCTCGCCAACTACTGCACCGCCACGTCGACTACGATTTGTGCTCGGCTATGTATAATCAGCGAAAACATGCAGGCGTGTAATGTATGTGTGGAACTGTGGCGCCGCCCAAGGACATCATCGACCGTGGTACACAACGCACCGAGCTCACAGACCTCCCTCCGCAATCCCCGTGTCCCGAACGGATCAACGTCAACGTGGTACACAATGAACATGGGTATGAACGGATCACCGAAGGGGGCCGGGCACGGACCCCGACGCCCCGGGCTCTTACAAGCACGCGACGGAGGTGGCTGCTGCGGCAAACCTTGAAGCGCAATCCGCGTAATGGGAAGTTATGTGGTACCGCCTGCCAGCAGGGTTACAAAGGTTATAAGTGGCCTCGACGTCAGGATATCCGGACAAAGAGGACATCTGGTAGTTCAGGTGGCTGTACGGAGACGGAGACGACCGGGGACGATGCTCAGAAAGTGGGCGCGAGTATGAAGTACCGCTTCGGCAAGTTATAATAGTCGCGCACACGCAGCAGCACGATGGAATTTATCTACCGAATCAACGTCTATTGGCCCCTCAGGCCTCAGGCGTCCGTCGCTGCGTTTCAAGGCGCCCTCCGAGTGCCTCATAGAAGCTCATGCGTCTTTTGAATAAGTGGCTAGTCCGTTCAGTGGGGACGGGAAGACGTCATGACGCCATATGACGAAAGTGGAGGGGAGCCAGCGAAGTTTGTGGATCAGAGTCCCCACACCAAGCACACGACATTCTCTGGATGAACTAGTGTAACATCGCCCTACACGAGGAATATGCGCCACTCAATCTACAAGAGTCCAAGTGGTCCATAGCGTCCGTTGTCAATTTCTTGCTTGGTGGTCTGATTCCGCCAAAAGCTTCATTGCATATGCCACAAAGTAGGAGTCGTCGAGAGTCGGACGTCGAAGTTTCCAGCCTGTCGAAGCGTTTGAGTCAGAAATAGGCTCCCGAGGCTCCTGCGCAAAGACGCCACCGTTCGGGAAGCTGTTTCAGCGAAGAACCCCGAGCCAACGTGATCTCTGGTCTGACGATCGCAAACCGCAATAGCCGCATGTCGCGCGGATGAAAACCCGAGCAGTGTACGCGCGCTACGACACGGGCGGACCATCACCTGGTATCGTTGGACGCTGCTATGTATTCGCTCCGATACCTGCGACGACAACGGGGGGCGGAAGATAGAGGAACAGAGCGCGGTCCGATGTATGTTATTGATCACAGGACCTTGCGTCGCGTAGCGCAGGATGCAGACTCCCGAGCCCCTTTGAAGTTGTAGCACCCTCCCCGAACGCCCAGTACTGACAGCTGGTAGTGAAAGACCTCCGTCTGTGGCTTTCGTCCGCGCTCGAGTTGCTTCATCCATGTTTATATATCATGACATACCGATGCACTATCCCCCCCCTTTTCAGACGATTGCGCCCAGGCGGCTTAAAGCAGTGCTCGGAGATGCGGTCGTACCAGTACTGTAAACCAGCCGAGATACAGCAGGAAAGCCGGATCACGAACCGCAAACCGTTCCCGTAAGTGAGCCAAGGCCACATGCGCCCGATGAAACCAGTTGCCAATCGCCCCTTGACGTTTTGAATATTTTTGCGGTCCAGATGAGGGTCCGAAGCAAGACAGAACGGCGCATCCTCTGCACTGCTTAGACGCAACATGATCAGCGCCCTACAGAACGATGGTGCAGCCTGACGCGCCTGAACTCGCCTCCCTGGCCATCCGGATATGACGAATCAGAAGTAAGGAACTTGGCCCTCGATAGGTTCCCATGAAGCTCGGCCTTCCGAGCGAGAAGTACTTGCCGTACCCCGCTACCTCCGTGGCCGGTAAATTGAAAGCTGTCGTGGACATAACAACGCATGCTGCGCGTCACGGAGCGTCAGCACAAGCGAAGAACACATCGGGCCCGTCGGCGTACGCATAGAACCTTTCCTGATGCGTGCCTGCGCTCGGGTGGGCTGCCAGGGCTGGACACGGCTAGAAGCGAATGAATGGCCGCGGCGACTCGCGTGCAGCGTGGGTTGTCTAGCATCAAGTGCCGTCACGGTATGTCCGCGACATGCGAACCCGCGTCGGGAGGACGTGCTGTTTGTCAGATGGTGGAAATCACGAGAACTCTCCGCAGACTATAGCGAGCGGCGGGATTACTGTCATAATAAAATGTGCTGTAAGATCCGGCACGCGTGCAATTGGAGCCCTGATGCTTACAGCATATGTTCCTGCGACAGCGTCGCATTCCCAGCGCGAGACATACGAAGCTTGATGGGAAGGAGTTTGTTGAGTATCCGGCGCAGGACTGATCTACTCACGAAGAAGGACGTCTGGCTGCGAGATGTCCCATGTCAATGTCAGACTACTGACCGCGTGGGCGTGGCTACATGGAGACGAGTGCAGAGCTTGCAAGCCCTTAGGTTTTGTGGGCTTTAGAGACTGGTCTGGTGAGGCGGAAACGCAATCGCGGGGACGTTGGAAAGTGTTTCGGAGTGAATGTGATATTCGGTGTCTGAGAACAGCTGACAGGTTGTCCATCTCCGTGGAGCTTGAGACAAGCTGGGGAGCCTGCTCGGCTCGCGGCGGGATGAAAGACATACCAGAAGGCGGCTGGACGTGTGCGAATTGTTATGCGGGATCATCGAATGTTGCCCTGCAATGTAGCCGACCGTAGTCGAAGGATTGACCATGTGCGATAACGATACGGTGCTCGAATGGAGACGAACGGGCTTGGGATGAGCTGTTGAACATGGGCGAGCAACATTCTGTGGACGGTTGCATGTCTAAGGGGATAGCTCGATGGGTTATTGGGATGTAGTGATCTGCCGCACTTGTATACATATTGGGATGGGCGCGGGCCTCGCTGGAAACGAACAAGTGTGGCTGCGATTTGAGCGGCGCGTGGTGTCTTGTACCGGGCGACTCTGTGAAGACGGCAATGGCTGTTCATGCTCCGACAGAGTCCGACAGTCGGGCGCACGTCGGGACGGGAGAGATCCTGGGCGCGATCTGGGGCTAGTGTAAGTAGGCGAATCAATGTCAGGGACATGAAGGGCAGGCACACTCGGACTGTACTTATCCCTCCCACCCGCCCTTCCCTCCGCCTCCGCCTCCGCCTCCGTCGCCCCCAGGTCGTCGCTCGTTTCTACCCGTGAGTCTGTCTGGCTTCCTATGCGCCCATCCATGCGCTGACCACCCATGCTATCCACTTGTTCCCATCACAGACCCGCTTGATCTTCTCCTAGGCCCCGCTTCTGACGCCCTCTCGGCCTACGAAGCTTTCCCCCTCCTCCCTTTCTTCTTCCCACATCTCTTTTCTTTCCTTTCCCCCCTGCGCTTGCCTCCCATGGGTGCTTGCATGTCTCAGGGTGGTATAGAGATCAGCGAGGAGGACAAGAGGCTCCATAGGGAGGCCGAAAAGAGCCTCAAGGAGGTGCGTCCCCGCTTCCTCCCAAGCCCGTCTTCGGCCCACATAGCATCCACCTCCGCAGGCCAAACTGAAGATGCAGAAGCAAGTCAAGGTCGGTGCCTGCCATCTCTCTCCCGCCTCGCACCCAAATTAAACCCACTCAGGTCCTCCTCCTCGGTTCCGGAGACTCCGGCAAGTCTACCATCCTCAAGCAGATGCGGCTCATCCACCGCGTGCCATTCTCGTCACAAGAGATCGAGTCCTACCGCCAACTCATCTTCAACAACCTTACGCATGGCCTCAAGAATGTCATCGACGCCATGGAGGATATGGAGCTGGAAGTTTCACCGGAGAACCAAGACCTTGTTCCCATCATCGAGGATGCGTCTGACATCAAGGACGGCGAACCTTTCCCCACCGAGTTCCATGAGATCCTCAAGCGGTTATGGGAGGACCCCAACGTCCAGGCCGCATATGCGCGCGGTAATGAGGCGGCGTTGCCCGAAAAGTGAGTCTGACGGCCCTCTAATGGCGCCGGGACTTCGCTGACCGTCGCTGGCCTTTTGTCTCATGTAGCCTGCTTTACTACTTCGCAGATCTCGATCGATTATTTGATCCGGAGTATGTACCCAACGAGCAGGACATCGTTCACGCTCGTGCACGGACAATCGGTATCACGGAAACCGTCTTCACCCTGCGCGACCATGATATGCTCATGGTTGACGTCGGCGGTCAGAAGAGTGAGCGGCGGAAGTGGATTCATTGTTTCCAGGATGTGACAAGCATACTGTTCCTCGTGAGCTTGAGTGGTTACGATCAGTGTCTCGTCGAAGACAAGGATGCGGTGTGTTCTTCGATGGGAAGCTCGTTAACGAAATGAAACTCATTGCCCGACACATGTAGAATCAAATGCAAGACGCAATGACCATCTGGGACTCAATATGCCATTCGCAGTGGTTCAAACAGACGTCCATCGTGAGTGCTTCGCGGTGTATGACGTATGTTTCCATTCTCAATTTACCGCATCAGATCCTATTCTTGAACAAGAACGACCTGTTTGAGAAGAAAGTTCAACATTCGGACATCAAGAACTTCTTCCCAGTACGTGCGGTGCCGTCTGTATGTCTTTTTTGTGCTCTGAACACGCCCCGCAGGATTATGATGGCGAGGCGGGGGATGCCAAGGCCGGCCGAGAGTACTTCAAGAAACGATTCGCAAGACTAGCACAGAAGGCCAACGCGAAGGAGAGGGAAATCTACATACAGTACGTCATACATGTTATCCCAACCTTCCCGCTTTCGTCGCGTGGATACCACATACTGACTACACGGGCTAAAGTGTGACTACGGCAACAGATACTGCCATGTTGCGAGTCGTCATGGCCGCTGTCGAAGGTGCGTCTCAACTCATCCTCGTTGTTTGCCCTTGCTAATGGAGATACGTTCACAGAGTGAGTGTTCCTTTTCCATTGCAATCCCCTTCGCACCTTTGCCCTGCTTGAACCGTTCGCCTGCAATCGCAACGGTGCGCTTACGGATGCGCCGTCTACCTTTAGCATAATCCTACGACAGAGCCTCGAAACGGCCGCCCTTATATGATCGCCCGCCTAGATTGTAATCTTTATTGATTCGTTATCTATCGACTTATGTGTAGTACTGTACTTCGGCGGTTTTCATGCCATGCATCCCCTCCCACGAACCACGTCATCTACGTCGCATCTTTCGTTCTCGCACTGTTCTCATTTCCACGTTACAACGTCTCTCCCTTCTCTCGTTTTTGCTCTCTCGCTGTCGCAGCCGTAACTCATCGTGATTCGTTTCTATTCCTGCCTTCCACAACAAAATCCGACCGGTCTTGCTCCCGCGCGCTCCTTCTCGAATCACCCGCCCCGACTGATCCCATCTGGTGCCTTTCCGGCGAACATCAACTCCCCTGGCGCATTCTTGTTCCCCAAATGCCTCATTGTCTCCAACATGCGCCGGCGGACTGCAGCACCATTATCAGCAAGAACGTGAGTACATCCTACCATATCTACTGGGCTGTGGCCATGTGGTCGGCGTACGCTACTACTTGTGGACGTTCCACCCAGCGTCATTCTCCCATGCTGACTATGTCTTTCCTGTTCCGCCTGCGTAGATCCGCGAAATCATGTTGTGATCATCAAGATCACTCACCGATTGCCCCCTCGAGGCCCCGTGGAATCATCTTTTCGACTGACTAGCACCTATGCAGCACCTACTGTGAGGCCGGGCAGCCGGCGTCCGGGGGTGCTGTTAGGTGGGAGCGAAGGAGGAGGCAGGGAAGGTCGTTTTATAACTGCTGTGCGCGCCAATCTCGCAACTTTTCGGCGCCTGGGGGGGCGCAGCTGTTCTCATTTCTGGGCGTTGGCGTCGTCTTCGACGCCGATCCGTTGTTCTCGATTGCGCCCGAGCTGCAGCAGCCAAGCTAAGTATTGTTCTTTTCAGCACCACTGGACTGGCTCCAACACTTTCGCGTCTGTCTTCCCTCTGCTTCTCGCAATTTTCGCGTGTATCATAATAATCCCGCCTTCGCCCCCGCTTTCCTTCCGCATGCCGTCCCCCCCCGCTTCTTATGTTATCTCGTTTCCGCTGGAATTCCTTTGCACGTCTCTTCTGCCTCTTGTATGCTTTCCGGATCTGCTGCAGCCATACCTCTCTTTCTCCTGCCATGCGCTGACGTTTATTATTATGCGGGGTCTCTACTCCCGCTTGCACTGTTGTCGTGTTACTATGCATGCCCTCTGTCTCCATACCTCGTTCACCTCCCCCCACATTCTCTCTCCCCAATCACGCTTTCGCCTCCTAATCTCATGGAACTGGAACGGTTATTGCAGCCACTGTCGTCATACAAATCGTACGGTACTTTCACAGCTTAATGGCCACGCAATCACCGGTGCAAGCTCTTGTGACGATACCCAGCCTGCGTGAACGTGGGCGAAGGTGTGGGCCAGCAGCCCTCGTGCGAGGGACTCTGCTGCGGTGGACGGGCGTGGGACCGACACTACTGTGTTTCGCCCCATGATGATGATCAATGCCCTTCTGCATTCGTCTCAGCTTGCTGTTTGACCTCAGCTCGGCGTGCAGAGGGTTGATGCTGAGAGCTGAGCCCAGATCCACGATCGTCGTTATATTGTCGAACATCATACAGATCTATCCTACAGTCGACACCCTCCTAACCCATACCCCTGGTAACCCATAAACTCTAAAAACCCATAGGATTTTGGCTTTCCCAAGTCGGGATAGGGGGAATTCGACCCCATAACCCATAGGTCCCCAGTACCCCATAACCCATAGCCTTCTAGGGCTCAAAACCCATACGGTAATAGTGGTCACATTGAGATTTCGCTCATCAATAACCCACAAAGTACTTGATACATGCTTCCTTGTGTCCTCCCAGCATCCATCCATGCTTCAACCACATTGTGGGTAGCTTAGTGTGTTCGAAATCCCATAGCGCTCCCTCGAAGGGTCAGTAGACGCCTGTTCAGCGCTCGCTAACTGGGACTTATCAGGGCGCTTAGAATGCGCTAAAGTTCTGGTAGCCCATAACCCCTCAAAACCCATATATTTGGGCCTGTCCCGAGGGCTATGGGTT